TATGGACTCTACTGTCTTACCAGGATTGAAAGTTAGCGTCAGCAGTCCTTTCAGGATCTTCAGGGCTCTGAGGTCAATGCCATCTGGTCCACATGACTTAGTGATTTGGCTGGTCTAGTATGTCCTGTATATGTGCTTCATGTTGTATGTGAGCTGTTCTGATGTTACACAGAACACGTTGTGTGAGATACCATCTCATCATTTTCATTGGTAAACACCCGTTCATCCCTTGCAAGGCATCTTAGAATTCTTCTTCACCCTCTTAATTTCCTGTTTACATTTGACCTGCCCTGTTTTATGGTCTTTCCTGTTCTCATTTTCATTCTCCTCACTTTCAGAAATTTCCTGGTGTTCTTTTCTTCACTTACCTGACACATTTTGTGCAGCATGTCCACTTATACACCTGAAAAGGAGTGGAGGGGAGAGTTTTATCTTTAATAATGAAGTGGTTTAGTTTGCAGTTGCCAGTAATGCATCTATAGTCAGTTTACTGCTTTGTTTTCAAAATTCAGAATATTTTCTCCTTTCTTTCAGTCTTTCTGGCAGCAGCAGAAGTAAAAAATTTGACTTTTGCACAAATGCGGAACTTTACAAACTGACTGAATTAGAATTAAGGCAATGGTGTTGGTTGCCTATGAAATTAAAAAACTGTTAGTTTTGAATTTTCAGATGTTATATACTGAGTATTTAAAAATCTGCTGATATAAAAGAAGATGCCTCTCACTTTTCAGTGATCAAAATACCCACAAATCCCATTTGTTTTTGTCATTTAGGTTATGGCAATGTAGAGTTGCATTGAACATTCTTGGACAGTTGAACGCAGATGTACACCTTCTTAATGTTATGAAATGTGGCTATGATTTTTATAATAAGATTTCTTCAGAAGAATATACCACTGTGGAGCATTGTGGTGTTGTGATTATAATATTGTGAATAATTTTCGCACTTGTTACTGACTGAAGTAGTAAAGAATTGTCAGTGATTCTACAATAGTGATTCTGTTCTATTATATTCTTTTCTACTGTATTCCTGTTATAGTCACATACTTCTTGAGAGATGTTATATTACTAGATGATACAAGATGCTGTATGGGGAAGTCAGAGGTTTTGGTAAGCAGATGAGAGGTGATTCTGTAAAAGTAAGAAGCAATGTGGGATTGTGGGATGTGCACTTCTTGTTTCTCCAATATTACAGTAGGAAAGTCTTGTGGTTTAGCCCAAGCCGCAACTGAGCACCACACAGCTGCTCACTCACTCCTCCCTGCCCCTGGTGGGATGTGGAGGAGAAAATACAACAAAAGGCTTGAGGGTCGAGACAAGAACAGGGATTTATGGTCACGGGCAAAACAGACTTGACTTGGTTTGTTACCAGTCACATCAGAGAAGATAGTGAGAAACAAAACCAGATGTTAAAACCGCCTTCTCCTACCCCTCCCTTCTTCCCGGCTCTACCTCCTCCCCCCAGCAGCACAGGGGGATGAGGAATGGGAGTTGGGGTCAATTTGTCACACTTTGTTTCTGCCTCTCCTTCCTCTTCAGGGGGAGGACTCCTCACACTCTTCCCCTGCTGCAGTGTGGCGTCCATTCCCACAGGCGACAGTTCTCCTCGAACTTCTCTGATGTGAGTCCCTCCCACAGGGTGCAGTCCTTCACCAACAGACTGCCCCAGCATGGGCTTCCCATGGAGTCATGGCCTTCTTTGGGCGCAGCCACCTGCTCTGGCGTGGGGTTCTCCGTGGCTGCAGGTCTTCATGGACTGCCTGACTGTTAACCTCCAGTTCCAGTGTGGGCTTCCCACAGTCACAGCCTTTGTCGGTGCAGCCACCTGCCAGCACAGGCAGCCCTGCCACTGATCCCCACAGGTGGCAGGGGTGCCGCCTGCCATCTCACCGTGGGCTGCAGCGGAATCTCAGCTCCGGCACACCTCCTCCCACTCCATCTTCACTGACCTTTATGTCTGCATAGCCGTTTTTCTCAGATCTCAGTCCTCTCTCTGCAGCAGCCCAGTGCAGGCAGCCACCCACGCCTTCCACCCTTCTGTCAGCTGCAGGTCCCACATGGAGTGGATTTCTTTGTCCCTTCTTAAATATATTATTCCCCTTCTTAAATATGTTATCACAGAGGTACTTGACTACCTTGGCCTTGGCCAGAGGCAAGTCTGACTTGGAGCCGAGGAAGCTTCTAGCAGCTTGTTACAGAGGCTATCCCTGTATCCCCTGCTCTGATACCGAAACTCCACCACATAAACCCACGACAAAAGGTGGTTAAGATAACTGGCAGTGGTTATTGCTTCTGCTTCAGATTTAATGTCCAGCTGAGATTAATTAGAAGGAGGTTTCTCAGAACATGGAGACCTTGGAGCACTGTCTTAATTGCCGTTGGGAGAGGAAAAGGTCCCGATGGCTTTCCTAAGGTGTAGCTATAGCCTAATCAATGCTTTTGAAAAACTTCACGTGACGCGGTCGTAGGCAGTAACATGGACCCAAATTCAACAGCCTGAGAGGTCCTTTCCAATCTTAAATTGCCGTAAATGCTGTGACTTGTGTGTAGGTTCAGGAAAGCGTTATTAGCAGCTTGCCTAATGACTCAGTTGGCAGCTGGAAGTTTTCTGCACATTTTAAAGGCTGAATGAAGTTAATTAAGCGTATCGGGCCAAAGCTTTATGCTCAATTTTGCTGCCGGCAGCCACAGAATTGTCTGTTTAAGATGCTTAAACCTCAGCCCTGTATATTTATTGGTGGTAAAATGTAAACTTCTTATACTGTATGTATACTTCATGAAGTGCTTACATTTCTTGGGTAAAGGTTTACCAATCCAGTATTTTTTTTAACATTTTTATACAAAAATACACTCTGTAGAGCCTGCGTGGTTATTTACTGCCAGCTTTAGGGAGTTAATTTTAAATGGCTGAGTTGCAAAATAGATTTAATTGTGAAGTTATTGATTTGATTTTAGAGATACTGCTGTTTTAAAGAATGAATAGAGATAGGAGGAAATGGCTTACGTAGGCATGAAAATGACATGAAAGAGTTCGTTAATTCTTTAGTGAGTAATAGCTTGAGGTTTAGGGAGATTTATGTTCTTTCAACAGATTATAAAATTCCTGAAGATACTCAGTATAATAAGTGCTCTGAGTCTCCTAGTACATACGTTGTGTTTTAGGAGCGTTGATTCCCTTCCATTTTGGAAATTTTTCCAGTAAGTCAATGCCTGCTGTGTACTTGGAGTACTTGGAGTACTGTTTCCTTGGAACTGAATTTCTCTGGTCTTACATCTTCTGGCCCTTGATAAATACATAGGTCATCTGTTTATCTCCATCCTGTGTGATGAGCTTTGGAAATCTCAGGGAGTGATACGAAACAGAAGTGTTGCATGGTACAACAAACAGCTTTCAATAACTGCTTGTATTTTCAACTCACTGAATCGCTAACTGATTACATCTATTTATATCGTGTTAAAATAGCTTATTTTAGGGTCTGGTCAGAAAATTGCAAGCAATCTTAAAATGATGTGTGTTAAAGATGTTGCCCACTCCCTTTCAGCTGGGAATTGCTGCCCCTTACCTAGAGCAGGAGGGCTGAGCGAATGTGTTGGTCCAGATTATTGACATGTGAAGTGAGATAAATCCAAACTTTCAGGTGCAATGTCTCATCTGTGAGGGTTGATTTTTGGGAGCATTAATTCAATTGCTTTGTGATCATTAGACCATATTCTTAGTATGTGACGTTAGGAGTATCTAAATGAAGAGTGTAATGTATGTATGTAACAGCAATGTTTCCATTTCAAGGAAATAGTAGGAACATTAAAGTGCGTTCTGCTTTTTCTGTATTTTTATTCCTTGCATTAAAGTTAAGAAGAATTTGACATCTGATAACAGAAGAAGATGTTTATGAACTTTAGGTCAGGTCTTCGTTAAGTCTCTAAAAAGTCTAGAATAACTTCAAATGATGTTTATGTCACATTGTCTAGAAATTGTATTACAAGATTCACATCACATTATTACACTACAAATTGGAAATATTCTGGAAATATTAGAGACCATTTTAGAATTTAATATCCAAATGTACATGCTTTTTCTCATACTCTTTGTGAGCTTCAAAGCTAAAGAAAATTAATTTTGAGACTCATGCAATTAGTATGCTGTGTCATGTAATTTCATCTGATTAAGTGGAGAATTTTTGTAGTCATTTGGATGAATCCCACACACGCTGATAAAAGCTGCATACTCGTTTAAAATATATGTTATTAATTATTAATTATTTCCAAAAAATGGGCTTTATGTAGGCAGGGTTCAGTCTGCAGTGGAAAGATTTGGATTGGTGAATTGTCTTTTGACTAAAAATATTTGCTTGGTAAAAATATCCCTAGCTGTTACCATTCTCACACTTTCCATGTAATAATTATTCCTAGTTGCAAGCTGATTTCATGCTGAAGGCTTCAGTTTAGCAGTGCACTTGAGGTCATGCATGACTTGCATCATACTGGATCATTCCCTCTACTTTAAAGGCATAATTCATGAGTTTGAGTCAGACCCACATTTAAGTAGCTTGTAGAATTAGTGCCTGTGTGGAAATTGTTTTTCTTCTCAACATAATTAGATTCTGGGTCTGGAAATGACATTGTGTAGATGGTTTTTAGCATTTTTTTTTTTTTTCTGAATTGTGCCACTATCAGTTGTTACTCACTTTTAATATTTGTGGATTTGCAGCTTTCTGAACAACCAAATTATTTTGTGTTCATCTTCATAATAATTATATGGCTCTCAGCTACCTTTTCAGTTTACATGTAAAATTAGCATTTTGCCAACGTTGTCGTTGTTTAAAAAATAGCAATGCAAAGTCTGGTTGTCCAGAGAATTAGTCTCAATTCAATGTAAATAGATAGAAATTTAGATTCACAGTTATAAGAGATGTAACATAAATTTTAAAAAGCTTAACTCTCATCTATATGCATAGCTATTATATGTATTTACCTTGTCTTCTGTGTTTTAATATTTTTCAGACAAGTATAAAAGAAGGATTACTACTGAAGCAAACCAGTTCTTTTCAGAGGTGGAAAAAGCGTTATTTCAAACTTCGAGGTCGTACCCTTTATTATGCTAAGGATTCGAAGGTAATTCTACGCTATTAGCATCTAATGCCATATGCTTATAACTTCAATTTTGTTTAGATTTATAAGTGCAATAATAGTTATGTGATGATTGTCTCATTAAAAAACTACTATATATAAGATATAGTATGTTAAATTAACTTTAACTAAAGAAGACTGGTGATTTCTCGTGATTATTATTTTTCAAATGAAGTTTGACACAGTTATTTTAACCTTTTGGATTATTCAGACAAATAACAAATTCATCTTAAGGAGTTGTGGGGTTTTTTTTGCAGGGTGACTTTCAGGCATTCAAATCTAATATTTTTTTAAAAAAGTAAGAATTAGACTATGCTCAGTTATCCCTCAAACTGAATTCCATTAAAACACTTTGTCTGGTGCCCATATTGCCATTAAAGAGATGGAAATGGTTACGTGAAATCAAGATAAGAACTTTTTCTGCCAAAACTGATTTAGAAGGAAAAAAGCTGTTTTCCATCATTTGAAATTTTTGATGGGAAAATTGGGGGTGGGCAGAGGGGAATACTTGTCTTCCTTCTGAAAGGCATTTCCTCCCTCCCCCTCAGGGCCAGGACTGAGAGCATTTTGGCTCATTGAACTGGCTCAGATTGTGCTGTTTCATAGCGACGGGCATTACTTTTTGCCCTGTGGGGCTGCTGCGACTCCTGGGATCTGTAGGTGAGGTGCTTCAGGTCTCTGTCATCTTCTACAGCCTGGTCTGCTCAATAAAACTATTACTAAGGCATAGAGACCTCTCCTTCTAGAACTATATGACTATAATTGCATAGTACATAGTTGTGTGGCAGTGATGAATCAGGGAAAACTTTGTCTCTCCAGGGAGCCCAGCACTGAAATAACTCTGTTGTCACACTTCTCTGTATGTGTTGCTACCATGAGCAGTTTGTGTAAGGACTCAATAAACATGGCAGATAAGAGCTCTGAGAACGTCAACGTCATCTGTGCCATAAAGATGAGAAAAGGAGGTGTAATGAGTAGGCAATTGTAGAAATACTCTGTAATGTTGAATCCAGACATACTGAAACTCCCTCAACATCGATTCTCCTTCCCAGGGCATGGAAAAGGAAGAATATGGTATGGCTAAAAAAAGGGGGAGGCGTTTTTGTTCGTCTTTCCTTCTGTGCTTCAAGACCCATTGTGAGTTTAACAGAACCTAATTAATCCTTTGCCAGAGACCGAGGTGTTTAAAGAAGACATATATTACTCTTTCTGGAACCTCAAACAAAGGAATAGAAGGAATATCTTCAGACTTTTGAGCTCCATTTTCTCATATGGATACCATATCATAGATTCCCCTTCATAAATTTAAAGTTTCATGCTAAAGCTGATGAATTCATTTATATTTTACTAAGTGTGAATCTGTTTCCTCTGACACCACATTTATGCTACACAGTAGACAACCCAAAGCTCCATCTATTTAAAAAAACCCACCAAAGTTTAAAAGGGATTTTAAAGCAACAAAGATTTTTGCAGCCGTCTTTTTACACTCTCTTGTACTATTTAGGTAGCAAATAGAACTGTTTAGGGGTGTAATAGGAAGTTTTATGACATCATCAATGTTTTCTGTTTTTTCACCACTTTTTTTTTTTTTTCTGTTTTCGTTTTCCAAATGGAATGGACACAAGGAAATGAAAGCACAGACTGTAAGTATACCTGAAAGTGGACTGAGACTATATTTAATGTTTTTGTGTTCTTTTCCATTCACAGTCTCTAATATTTGATGAAGTTGACCTGTCAGATGCCAGCGTAGCTGAATCAAGCACAAAAAATGTCAACAACAGCTTCACGGTATGGAATCATTATAATACTGATCTTGAAAGCTGTAGATAAGACTGTTACTAAGAAAACCAAGAATCCTCTGAATAGCTTCTCATTTTCCTCTATTTGGAAATTAAATGTGCTTTATTTGGAATTGACATAATGTATCACAAAAATATCACGTCAGCTAATCAGATAATTTTGTCTCTGTGGTTCTTTAGCAGAATTTAGAATGTTAGATAACAGTTGCTTCAAAAGACGCTGGTACAGCATCCAATGGCAGTTGGACTAGATGATCATTGTAGGCCTCCTTCAGCAGAAATATTCTAAATATTCTATTCTATTCTAGACAGGAATAAAAAGGAAAAAGTGAAGTTCCCATCTCTGTTGATTTACTGTAAAGCTGGAAGAGTAGATCTGCTAGCCTGTGTGCAAGGCATTAAAAATTTAGCAAGATTCAGTATTAGTGCTTGATAGTACCCATTAATACAGCTTGGTTTTATGCTGCAGTTTGAGGTGGGATGCTGAACTGATTCAAGTGTAATTGTGGTGTTGTTTTAATTTCTTATAATAGCGGTTTTTTGTTTCCTATCAGTGTATTTTTTGTTTTTCATTGCCAATCATATCCCTATATGTTCCAAGTCATGGAAAAGAGTCATATCTTGATTCTGATACTGGTATGAGAAACAAAGAGTGTTCATAAATCCCTGTTTCTGTGAGTTCACAAGTGTGTTTGACACTCAAGTCTTGCTATTTGTTGTTCAACTGCTTTGTTGGAACTAAGTGATAATGTCTGACACAGTTCCTCTGCTGATTCTTAATGTCTGGAAAAGTAAATTTTTTGACCAAGAGCTAGCAGTGAGGAAGATTGTGGGTAAAGTTGTCCTTCCAAAGGTTATGAGTTCTCCCACTGACTCTGATGGCATCATCCTTCTAAACCCCCAAATCCTGTTATTCTCTATTAGAATGTGGATTTTCAGTTTTCCTGAGGATTTTAATTATTAGAGGTGGTCTGTGTTACTAGTGTTACTTGTTGTTCTTCTCCAAGGCAGTCCAATGCAAGCCTCCTGAAGGCTTCATCACTTCTTCCTTGCTGTGGTACCTCCCGGGCAGCTACTGAACTAATCACAGCAATTCAAAGACATGTTCATGTTGGCCTGGACAGGCCAGCTTGTTATGTCAATTTTTCTTTACTGATTAAGAATGCAATAAAAAATACTTAATTTGGCAGAAAGTCTCAGATATGGGAGTGGCTGTGTGAGGTACCAGCTTGCCTTTTGGAAAGGTTTTTTCTGTTGCTTAGGAGCTCTGCTTCTGCCTTGCTCCTGGCCAGAAGGAAAGCTGTCATGGAGGCATGAGGATAGCTGAGGAATGATGAGACATACAAAGATGATGGGTTGAGGATCCCAGTAGTCATGACTGTCATTTATTGTTCAAGATGGGATAGAAGGCTCAGCATCCCCTAAAGACACAAACTTCCTTCGCTATAGCCTTCATTGCAGGAAAAAGAAAATTAAGAAAATGCTCCTCTCAAAAGTATTGCTATCAATCACTGAATCATGAAATAAGACTTTAATCTTGGTGTAATTTTGTGTGGGGAAGAGAAAAGTGACATATCTTGAGGCATTTTTTTTTTTTTCCTTTTTTTTTTTTTCTTCTTCCCTTGTGTTTGATGTTTTGGTATTCTTCATAATCCTTTAGGCCCACTCATTATCTCAGTCTTCACCAAAGCCCTCTTTTTTTGTATCTAGTATCAAGATTTCTGGGGAAGATGGTAGTGAAAAAAGAAACCTCGGGGGCTACAGCTTTAACAGCTTTGGAGACACAAATATTTTCATGTCCTGGGTAATTTAGGGCAAACAGTGTTTTCTCTAAGGAGTCTTCAAATTAGTTTTGAAGAATTATTTGGGTTTATAGCTCTCCTGGATTGAAATGTCATCTGATTTGACTGTGAAATACGGTAATAGTCGTCATCTCACTTAATCTTTTGGCTTCTTTCTTTATGTTTGCCTAACCCAGTCTCCCAGCAACACAGCTCAGTGAAGCAAGACTTCTCTGGCCTTGCCTGCACTGGTTTTGAGAGAACGGAGGTTACTGTTCCAGCAATACTCCTTAGAAATAAAAAGCAACATTTCATTTTCCTTTTTTTTTCTTCCATCTTAAAAAAAGATAATCCAGCCTTTCTTAAAATTACTTTTTTCTTTATGTTGTATGCTCTGTTAACATTCTCTTTGCTAAAAAAGCAAAAATTAAATCCTTAACTTTAGCTTCCTGTAGTTAATGTAGTCCTCTTGTTTTATTGTCCCAATAGATAATAATTTTAACATAAACTTATGTGGATGGAATATACACCAAATAACCATTTTTCCAGAAAACACACCTTTAAAAATTTACATTAAACTTTTTTTTTTTTTTTTTTTTTTTACAAATCCTTTTGTTGTTTCACTTAACACCCCTCTCCCCTCAATCTCCCACTCCCAGCTTGGTTTGCCTTCTTTGCCCTTGCTAGTTTGTATGTTTGGAGACAGAGGTGTGTGCGTCAGGATTTTCCATGCTCTTTTTTTGGATAAAACTCAAGTCCTAAAATTAGTCATTACACACAGATTTAAGGTTGAGTTTATTTGTAATATTCATGCTTGCAGAATATTTTATGTAACTAAATATCAGTTTTTATTCACCAGAATTACCTTTCCTTTCTTACTACAAACAAATTGAGGGTAAGGGCAAAGTTGAGATAAATAAATATCTGCTAATTAAAATGAGAAGCTGCTACACTTAAACCAGCTCCTCTGTTTTAGTTTTTTTCCTTATTGCTTTTGATATTACTTTTCAATGAACAACCAGCTCATTTCTAGCAAATAATTCCTAGTGAACAAGCTTGCACTAGGAAGCCTTGTAATAAATAGTTTATAGGTGTTTTGTGGTTCTGAGCATCCTCCTCTAGCGGCTGTTAAATAGGGGAAAAGGTGTCCCTTGACTTCAGAGGTTTTATATGATACCCTCAAGGCTGTGTTTTTCTTGCTTGCTTGTTAGGTAGCAGTCTCCTAAGTCCGTGAGAGGAGAGAGAAGATGTTTAAGAGGTCATTCAGCCCGTCAAAGACGTGCATCACCCTCTCCATCAGCCACATCAGGAATCCACCAGAACTTTGTCTCTTCCTGTGCCTCTAGTTCAGTGATGTGGGTGGGCACTGAGTCCTCGTAATGGTGTTGGGTACTCTGCTGAACGTTTTTTCCACAGTACTTTGCTTTCAGTGGGTGGTTTATGTTGTCTCAGCATGTCCTGAAGAGTGCAGGTACGCAGTATGTTACCTCTTTGGGGAGACTTTGGGGATGAATCAATCTCCTGTCTTTATTGCACACAAGCAGATGGGGCAGTGACCAATTCTGCTGAGAGCTGTAATTCCTCATGCATTTTGGTTTGCAGGGGTAGAACATGGCTTGTTGATATCTCAAGTGCATTAAGAGAAATCTCTTTTATTTCTCTCAAAACAAGACTTCAGACTGAATGAGGCTGAATAGTACTGTCCAGCATGCTAGCATGTTCATATGGAACATTGGTGGCGTGCTTTTGTTCTAATAGGTACAAGGAATGGGATTATTAAATACTATAATGAATCCTGAACAGGCGTATTCAATTAATGAAGTTCCTCAGGGCAACAAAGGTGATTATAAATTTTGATTTAAAAGGAGATTTTGACAGGTTAGCTTTTGGCTTAGATTTCTACCCCTGCCTTGCTTTTGGTGGTGAAGAACTGATGCACATTGAACAGGAAAAAAATCTGTAGATGTGCTGCCTTACAGTCGTCGAGCCCCACAGATGTATAAAATCATAGAATCATGGAATAGTTTGGGTTGGATGCGACCTCAAAGATCATCTAGTTCCAACCCCCCTGCCATGGGCAGGGAAACCCTGGTTGCTCAAAGCCTTATCCAGCCTGACCTTGAACACTTCCAGGGATGGAGCATCAACAACTTCTCTGGGCAACCTGTTCTAGTGCCTCACCACCCTCATTGTTAAAAATTTCTTCCTTATATCTAATCAAAATCTCCTCTCTTTCAGTTTAAAGCCATTGGCCCTTGTCCTATCAGTATATACCCTTGTAAAAAGTCCCTCTCCAGCTTTCCTGTAGGCCCCCTTTAAGTACTGGAAGGCTACTAGAAGATCACCCTGGAGCCTTCTCTTCTCCAGGCTGAACCTGAAATGCTCTGGGTTATTATAAATCTATCCTAGAGTCTCGTGTAAAATGCACAGGCATCATGTGGCAGCACTTATCCATCCAAATCCATCCAAACTGATGTTTGAAGCATTTAATTCAGTCATGGTTTTTGTGATAATGCTTTGAGGCATTACTTCATATAGCTGGCTTTAGATATTTGATTTGGGTTAGTCCAACTTCTAGTGCATCTGAGAATTGCACAAAGCCATGGACACTCAATTTCTTACTGTATATATATTCAGAAATGTGAAAATCCTGTCTAGATTAATTCTTTTATCTAATTGCATCTGAGAGTAACTGAGGAAATAATTTCACTGTCGTTCTGGAAAGTGCCCTCCAAGAATATGAATATTCATCTACTAGATGATACTCATGATGGGGATTCAGCTTGCCCTAACTTTGGAGTGGGATTCAATGATGGATTTATAGACCCCTAAATTTAGGTGTCTAGGATAAGATTAATAGCTCTTTAAAGTAGAGTCCTGTAATTCTCCATTAAGTATAGACTCCACTGATCATTAACTAACTCTCCCTTTGCTACAATAGGAGCTTTGTCATCCAGGGCACCCAAAATGTAGGCCCGTGCTTTCAACATTCCGAATCAGATGCTGAATCAAGTACTTTTTGTGGAATATACATCTTCTGAAAGTGGTCATCTTGAGAGGGAGGAAGCTGCAGTAGGCAGATCTGCTGTCCTGAAAAGCTTACTGCAGTTCTTAGTACTTAGAAATTGGATGGAAATGAGACTTTATATTCCAGCCAATAACATTGATTACTAGGATTCTGAGTATGCTTGCAAAAATGTCTTAATAT